ACCTCTTCAAAATATTTCCAGACATAGCTTTTTCTACTAGAACTAGGTGGTTTAGAAAGATTTACTCGAATCTTCTTCACACTTGGTTCTTCAACTGGCTTATCGACGGCTTTTCTTCTGGTTATGCTAGAAGATTCAACAATCTCTTGAATATCGTTATCAGAGATACGATCAATTTCAGAGATGTATTCACTATTACTATCCATACTTTTTAAAATTGTTATATATAATGTATTTTATTTATTACAGCACACAAATTATTCAAATAGAAGTGTATAATAACCAAACAAGATAATGTTGATCTTTATTAAAGGTCAGAACAAGCTCTTTATATACATGATTTTATTTATTGAACATTATTCTAATGCTAATCATTTCTTTGACTATGGTTTTTAAATAATTAGAACAAAGAACGATATTATGCGTGAATCGTACGGCGTTTTTTCAATAAGGGACTCTTTAACCTGGGCTAATCGTATGACTTTTTTGATTATAATTTAATAACATCTGCATTTTTCTTCTTTATATTTTCCATTCTCCTTATTATTTGGATCTATTTCAGAACATCTATATGAATTATACAACGTTTCAATGAGAATTAAGGTCGTTATGGAAAGCTTTCCTTCTTTATATTTTCTATTCACTTTATTATTCTGATCTATTTCAGAACATCTGCATGGATCATACGATAATGTTTCAATGAGGATTTAATATCGCTACGGCAGGTTTTTATGGTTTCCTTCTTTATATTTTCTATTCACTTTATTATTCTGATTCTATTTCAGAACATCTGCATGGATCATACGAGGATTTAATATCGCTACGGTGGGTTTCTATAGTTTTCTTACTTTATATTCTATTTTCCTTATTATTCAGATCTATTTCAGTTAATTTATCTTTGCATCGCCCCCTTTTACTATTGTCACTTATCCTTATGCATAAATTTACCCTTATATCTCCACACTCTTCCTTACGTGGCATCTTTACCTTACATGCCACACTTAATATTATTTTATACATACGTACGTACATGCATACATACCTTTTCCTTATGCCATTTATGCAAGCATATTCATGGAATCTGTTATGCAGTATAAATGGTTAGACTATCACGTGAATTTAGAATTTCTGGACAGTATTCAGATAATTAAACAGTAAACCTAGAAGCTCTTTAACATTTACTTTGGACCTCCTAACTGTCGATTGGCCTATTGTTGGCTTAATCAGTTGAGTTTATCTAGCATCGCCACCAAAGTCAAGCACGTAATCGCTGGCTAAATTTTTAATTCAGGCTTGAGTATTATTTCAATATGAATTAATAATTCAAAGAATTTTTTTTTTTTTAATTAACTATACTTGATATTTGCTATAAGTTAAGGAATTGTATATTATTTACCCGATGACTTCAAAAATAATTTGTATCCTTGCATTGGATTAAGATCACAAAAATGCATCTATAGAAGCAAGATTTTGGTCATACGAAGTTTTAATTTCTAGGTAAAATTAAACTTATTCAAATACCTAAAATGTTACACGCAAATTCAGTTTCAAGGATGTAAGGCGATTTGATTCTATGTGCGCCAAGTCACTTCTCATCGAATTACCTATAAAAATTTATTGTAGAGATCTACATAAAATTGGCCATCACGGCGAATTTATGAAATTTAGCTAAAATTTGGTCATCAAAACCGAGTATTTTGTCACCCAAAGTAAATCTTAGTCACCAATTTACATATTAATAAATCGATACTAAACCTGAAAAATTTTTTTGGACCTCTGATCTAGACTGATAACCCATCTTTCCCACAGGCTAGCCCATCTTCCCCACCCTTATTAGACTTATAAATCTATTATAATGACGCACCTTAGCCTAGAAAAATTTTCTTATCTATACCTTAGTGGTTAAATTTTTCAAATTTTTGGGGTATTTTATAAATTCGCCGCAATGTATATAATATATAATTTATGAAAGTTAGAATAAAATTAGTGCCTCAATAATATATGTATATTAATTTGGTACATTTTTGTATTTAGTAATCATTTTTTTATTAAATAGCGCATTATTAGTTGAGTCTATATCTTAAAGTTTTACAATATAACCCTCAACGGCTAACCCAAGGCCCGTAAGTCAACAGTCGGGTCACCCCGTTGCCACAGGTGATCCGACTGTTGACCCATCGGGTAACCTGATGGTTGACCCGTCAGGTGACCCGCGGTTGACCCACCCGGGTGGTCATTATCTCAACCCGGGTACCCGACCCACCCGCGGGTGACCCGGGTGACCCCAACCCGGGTCAAAACACTATATCTGCTAGTTGTTTTAGGATTTTCGCACGTGTTTATAAATAACAGATCTTATCCGGGTGGCTCTTATGCGGATACGATCAATAATTTATAATGGTGTTTAATCAAATTATTTTTTGCAAATATCAATAGTCACTCAACAAATTCATAATACCAAATATAAGCGGGATGTGTAATAAGAAAGGTTTAATTTGTGAAACTTCGCACAATGAATGCTATTCACTTATTAGATTCTACAAGAAAGCATCCTCACGAATAATTATTACACAAAGGTCTTATTAGTTTGATTTAGTTCTATAAACTCATAATAAATACGGTCACTCGTTCAAACTTCAGACATTACAAACGAAAGCCATACATGTTAAAAATTCTCTTTATTCAATTTTCATCATATTTTGCGAGAAATACGAAAAGTCAATTAGTAATAACAGATAATACTAGGCAGTAATACTCAGTATATAATTAAATTTTCAAAAATTTAATGAATCCTGTATATAAACATTTCTCAAATGAACGATGAATCCCTTTTTTTAAATTAAATGAATTTTCATATTTATTGTCAAATCTCCTAATATCATTACTCCTACCTTTTTTTCTTTCAAAATAACTATTTTAAACACAATACTGTATTTTACATTAATAAGGACATATTGTCTACTGCTTTACTAATTTTAGTCTTAGCAATAGAGGTCCAATCCGGATAAATCCATTTATCCGGCAGCCTATTATGATTGTGCTGCCAAAATAACTCGAGTTATTTGGCAGTGATACGTCATCTGCCAAATAACTTCGTTATTTGGCAGTTTATGTAATCACTACCAAAACTCGAGTCATTTAGAAGCACAATCGTCATAGGATACCGGATAAAACCGTTATTGTATGCTACGCTAGCCAATAACTCCTAATGAATTATTTTACAAATAATTCTCGTTATTGGCTGCTTCGCATCCAATAACTATATATTAGAATTTATCCGGATATCCATTTACTATTGGTATCCGGATAATCCGATAAATATTCAGATAATTATCCAGATATCAATAGTAAAACGGATATCCGAATAAATTCAATAGATAAATGGATAAACGGATAATGGATAGGAACTCTACTTAGCAATTCTTGGCAATTCGAAGATACAGGTTAAATTAAATTTTTTCAGATCTAATATTAAATGCTATATCAGTGTTGAGCATTTTTGGTGCCTCGTCTACCTTAAGTATCGGCAGCATCCACAGCATGATCAGCAAATATATGATTATATTCTTCTAAACACTTTTTGGCTTAGTAAGTTAGAAATAGGTTATCATAATAAAATTATGAGTTAATCTAGTTTATTTGTTCAATGCTATGTCGTGCAAGGTCTAATTTCAGGTGCCTGAAGTAATTCTAAGGAGCGGCTTTCACGGCATAATGTACTTATGTTTTTCCGTGTACAATACCCAATTGAATTCGGATGAATTCGAAAAATTTTGATTACACTGTACATTTCAAATAATCTGCAATTGGTCGAAAATTATTCGTTTCGTACACAAAATGTTTTATAATTTCAAATTGAACTTTTTAGGATAGATTATTGATGCTGAGAGACAGAGATGAGAATACGGCATGAAAGATTATATAACTTTATCAATGATAAGATAATGATAAGATTACATTGCATTTCTGATTATTAACTGGCTAAAAAATCTATTATTCAAACAAAATATTATATCAAAAATTTTTGTAAAAAATAGTCAATAGCCCTATGATTTTCCAGTGCTGTACACGTGACAATACACGGGGATCTCCACGACGACGTACTGTACATAGACGATCGCCTACAAAGATATTCGTGATTGACGATCATCACCTTTAATTAATAACTTTATAAGCTGTTGTTCTTGGGTTTACGACATTTGGCGTAAAATCTTGCTACGTAGTTTTACTTTTTGATAAAATTATTAATTATGAGGGAACCTGCCGAAATGTTGTACAACAGCAATGTGGTAATTAACATTTCCCGAACATAATGTGTTATACAATTATATATACCTATGTACGTACATACACACGTACGTACGTATGTACAAAGAAAACAATAAACATAGCACATCATTGTAATTATTTCGGGCTTTTTTTTTTTAACTTTACGGATTAACTTAACTTCGAATTTAAAGGAGATATTGTGTTATAAGCATATTGCAATTTATATTAGACCAATCAAATTCACATAAGAATGAATTCAAAATAGTAATGATGTTTAGCAATTTTAAATTTATGTATTCTTTCAAGAAAAAATTTGGTTTAATTGATTGAGAAAGTTTGCATATTTAAAAGATTTATTAGGTTTAGTATGTCTTAGATTTAGGCTTGGTGATCTAAATAAAGGCTCGCAAATCCGCATGAATAATTAAACGTTGCACTTTTTTGGGATTTCGATTATTATTTTGTTTGCCATGCGTGGTATACACGTCATTATTGGAAATATTTTTAATTATAAATTTTAATGTAAAGTCTAAGTAAAACAATACCTTTTTTGTGATATACATTATTTTCAAGGAGTGCAGTATCACAGTCAGTCAATTAATTTTTAAATATATATTCTGCATTTTGACCGTTATTAAAAATCAGGGCGCATACATTTAGATTCAGATTTATAGAGATCTCTCTTATTCTTTCTTCCTTCTTTCATTAAAAAATTTCTTAAAAAATTAAATATGAGTCAATATTATACAAATTCTAATACTTCTGAAGAAGTAATATGCCGACCTGGAACTACAGGAAATGGAACATGCATGTGTGATTGGAGAGTTCAACTACGCGGTTAGCATTAATTTCTAACTTTTTTTAAAAAATTGTTAGCATTGGCATTTGGTTACTTTTTCTTCGTGATTATGTATTCAAATTTCACGAGTGTATATAATTATGAAAGGCGAGAAAACATTACAAGTATAAACATCTTGTATTTGTGCTGATAGGCAAAATTGTGTTTACAAAACTATGTTTTCGCATTTCGTAACGGAATTTCAAACTTCATAAAGATCTGTGTCTTTGCATATAAAATACACAATGTATGCACGTATTTAATAATGTAATTCATCGAGTTCACTTTTACATGATTAAATTTACTAATAGAACAATTAAGACAATCGATACGTCAGCAATACTAACAAGCAAATAATTTTTTGATTAATAAATCCAGATTGTCCATCTGAGGGTACTTTCATTGAAAATTTATATCTAGTAAACACGCTTGCGTGTTTTATAGTATTTATTATGCTTACTGGATTACTTATTTGGAGAATGGCTGTAAAAGGACAAGGACTCATCTCCAAAGATCCTTTAAAAGAGATGGGAATATTGCGTCCAAAACCTCTTGAATGTTTTCTACTACTGAATATTTTTCATGTTGCATGTAAGTTTTAGAATTTACTCACATGATATATTTATACAATATGAAATTTTTCATTGACAAAATAATGTTATTCATTATATATAGCACGATTATTATATTCAGTTTGTTTAATTAGTGATTTTTTATCATTAAACGTACTTAAAGAACGTATGTATTATTTTCATCGATGCATTTACTTTTCCTAAACAATTACTATTCTTTATGCTTACAAAATATTTTTATCAAGTTATACACGACGTAACATTCACAATATCATTGGCGTCATTGACCATATACCTCATCGGTTTAATTTATACGATACCGCGAACTCATATTGCTGCACAGCGTGCAGTTATATCTGGTGCTGAAAAACCTTCAACTTGGGTCCTTCGTCCACAGATGATAGATGCTTTCGCTTTTTTACTATTTATTGGGCTGATTGCTTTGAATGCTTGTGCTTTAATATCGGGAATATTTATGGATAATAATAACGTAAAAATGGCAGAAACTTGGATTACCATTCATTACTTGGGATGGAGTTTTTTTTGTTTGCCATGCGTGGTATACACGTCATTATTGGAAATATTTTTAATTATAAATTTTAATGTAAAGTCTAAGTA